CCCCCCAACCTCCCGTGCCATCCCCCGAGGAACCATTAACACAGTTACTGTCTCTGTAGATTGACCTATCCTGGGATTCATATACAGAGAAACATGCACAATCTCTTGTAGTGTTTTTGTTTGATGCTGAGAGCGCTCAAAGCACGATTTTTAGGAACCAAAACTTGAGGGCCAATACTTGCTTTTGAGATTTCCCCACAACCAAGCCCGAGGTGTGATTTTGTAAAGCATTTGTAAAGTCCTTAATTGCTCCCCAAACTTAGTTGGCCTGCGGCCCCTTTTCAGAAAGAAAATTCCTCAGCACCCCCCAAAAACGTGGGTACTGTCATCCAGGATACAGTGTAGGTTTCTGCTTTTGCAAGCCCTCCGGGGGGCTGGTATCCCCCAGTGTGGGAAGCACTACCAACACCTTTCCGCTAAGGGCATCTTGAACGTGGGATGTATAGAGCTCTTGAAGAGGACATGAGATGGGGCCCTAATGCAGAGAGAGCTTTCATTAACGTCTTGACTGTCCCCTGCTGGGAATTAGCCTAGCATTTTATTGCTGCTGCTGCTGCTGCTGCTGCTGCTGCTGCTGGGCGCCATCAAGTTGATTCCAACTCATGGCCACCCCCCATGGGTCTTCTGAGCTGAAATCTTTATGGAAGCAGGTTACCGGGTCTTTCTCCCTCGGGTCAGCTGGGTGCGTTTGAACTGCCAGTTTTCTGGTTCCCAATGGAGCTCGTCACGGGTGCTCCGCCAGGGCTCCGAGGGGGACATCCATAGTACTTCCATGACTTGTGGTTTACCCAGGTACAGGTCTACCCCCACCAAATGCCTCTCAGCAGACAGATAACGTCTGTGCCTCTGACCGCGAGTCAGTCCCTCATCGCTGGTACCTGAGCACGGTGGGCGTGAGCTCATTGCGGTAGACAGAAATCCCGGTGGACGTGGCTGATACGGTGCAGATTCCCAAAGCCGCCAGAGCCACACTCAGGGTGGGCATTTCTGGGGAAAGAACAACCAGTCAGACAGAGAGAAACTCAGTTGGAAAGCCCTAGTCAAGGGTGGGAAACACCAGGTTGATGAGTGGCCACAAGATGGGGGG